GGCTGAAGCAAAGGGCGAGGGGGGGGGGGGGTTGGTTTCTTCTCCCAACTACCAAGCAATAGAACAAGAAGCAAAGAAGAAATGGCCTCGAGTTGCAACAGGGGAGGTTCATATTGGGTATTAGGAAAAATTTACTGAAAGGACTGTCAAGCACTGGAACATGCTGCAGGGGGGGGGGGGGGGGAGGTTGGTTTCTTCTCCCAACTACCAAGCAATAGAACAAGAAGCAAAGAAGAAATGGCCTCGAGTTGCAACAGGGGAGGTTCATATTGGGTATTAGGAAAAATTTACTGAAAGGACTGTCAAGCACTGGAACATGCTGCACAGGGAAGTGGTGGAGTCACCACCCCTGGTGGTATTTAAAAGACACATAGATGTAGTGTTTAGGGATGTGGTTTAGGGATGAACTATGTAGTGCTGGGTTAATGGTTGGATTTGATGATCTTAAAGTTCTTTTCCAACCAAAATGATACTACGATTCTGATTCTATAGTAATGAACATTCAGAAAATGAGTACAAAGGGTAGTTTTTCAGGAGGACACCATATTGGTCTGATTTGCATCCTTCCCTTAGTAAAACTTCACACATGTATATTGAACAAGAACCTCAGCATGCTTGTTCTGAACACCTGTCACAAGAAGAACCAGCAGAGACATTTTGAAGTTAACAGTCTTCCCTGTGTGACAACCAAAGATATATATCCTAGATTTTTTTTTAATACTAGATTTTTAGACTCAGCAAAAGTAAGTTATTGGAATGAGTAATTCAAGAATGGAAGCAATATTGCATGGTGTGAAGAAATCTTCTGCCACAGAGTAGAGCTGGATTTTAGTAATCAAAATGCTAAGCTAGGAAGGATGAATTCAACTGATTAATATAGTTAATCTTCCAATTATAATCTTTCAACAGGATTTCAGGGTCCCTTCCTTTTGAAGTTAATTGAAGTTTTTCCACTGACTTCAACAGAAGAATGATTAGTATCTTTTAACAAACTCTTTTGATAAATTAATACTTGTGGATTATTCTAATCATTTTAGAGAACATATCTGCAGTTAGAAATTTATTCTTGTGCCACACAAAGTCTGTATTTTCAAGGCTGTAGTAAAACAGTAAAAAATAGCCAAGTTCAAGCCAAGTCACCCTTCTGGCATCACACTTACGAGGCTTAGGTGACATGTACTTCACTCTGACTTTGGTCAGCAATGGACCAGCTTCTGAATTGCTGGACTTTAAGCTTGTCCTATTTTTTCTACTTTTTTTGGTCAGTCTACCCTTGGAAATGTTTCAGCTTTATCTCTTCCTTTTACCTTTCTAAGTTAATTAAATACCTGACACTCATGCTAAATGGGTACTTCTGAAATCCTTTCTTTCTAGAAAAGCAATTTATTCTTACCTATCCCTGAACAGCTGGTTTGACCTCTGAATCCTGCCTTAGGGCTGCATGGTCCCAAACTTGCCGAAACTCTTATTTCCTGCTGGGAGCTCAAAAAAAGTGACAAATGCCATCTTTCCACTATGTACTCAAAATGCCTGGCTAACATACCTCAGTCCTTGTCCAGAGTTAATCTTAAAGCGGAAGATGGTAACTCAAAGCTCTGGTTGTTCACATTTAATCCATAGTATAGACCTAGAACTTGCATGTTTCCTGCAACACATTGTGTGACAGCGTCTTAACACTCACCAGATGCAACCACCTTTTAGTTATCAGCTGCCTGTGCTGGATTTCAATGTTAATCTGTCCACTTATGCTTTTGCCCCTCTCTGACTTTTAAGACCTGTATAAAACATCCACAGACAAATTCCCATTCCTATCTTAGTTTCACCAGGTATTGAAATAGAGAGTTTCTCACTCATGACAGCATGTTAGAAACAGCTGCACTCTGACATGAACCAACAGAGTGTGATCAGATACCTACCCACACACTTTGGCTCCTTGGAATCCCACTGTGAGGTTCCCTGGCAGGTGAGCTTGGTATTTCCTTCTATTTCATAGCCCTCATTGCAGGTCACAAAACATACTGTCTTATAGGAGATATCAGCTGTTGAACAATTGATGTGTCCGTTTTCAGGAGCTTGAAGTTTGGGACATGTTCGAACTGCAAAAGGAAAAAGAAAAACCAGTTCACCCCACAGCACTGAGAATCGGCAGAGTTACATTGTTTGCCCAGGTTTTCAGGACTGGCACAGGTACTAGCTTGTACACTAGTTACAGGGGTCTGTACAAACTTAGGGAATAGGGCTGGAACAGGGCTGATTTTTTTTCAAAGGCTCAATGCCACCCTCTTCCTGAAGCAGAGTCTTACAAAGCGTGTGTGAGGTTGCGCACACACTTCCAAGCTCACCTAAGGTCTGATGTAAGTTCAGACTCCCAGAGAAACTGCTCAGAAAGGCTCCTTTCCACCAAAGGCATCTGGCACACAATTGGTGGCCTCTGCTAGTAATGTCTATCTGCCTCCAGAACAGGCAAAGGGAATCCTGCAGAAAAGGTGTGTGTTTGAAAGTTTCTAATCCCCCAGCCATGCATGAGAATTCTTTGGGGGATTTTCACCTGGCAGTCTGGTACAGGCTGAGTGCAGGCCAGGGAGGAGGCTGAGAGCTTATTAATAGGGCAGATGACAGTGTCCCAGTGCTCAGGAACACTTTCAGAAACCCTGGAGTGTACTGATGCAGAGATAGACACATCAGCCTCCACGAATCAGGACATTCATCATGGTGAGAGAGACAGAGATTGGAAGAAGGAAGACAAGGCATTCAAAGAGAGCAGGACCACAAGAGATGAAAAGGAACAAATCAGGCTGTGGCTGAGACAACTCCACTGCCCGATGGAGGCAGTCCTGACTGCTGCTCAGCATAGGCCTTTCTCCTGCCCTGTCTCATGAACTGCAAGCAGCATGATGCCAAGCAGAAGGCAGTCCTCAGTGTGACTCTGGCAGAAACATTTAAGTAAGCCTGTGTTACCCTTGTTATGGTTCCATGCATTAAACACAAAACCATCCTCCTGTCAATAAGGCATTTTCCATGACCAAGAAATATTTCCATAAAGCCCATGAAAACAACAACAATAACAACAAAAGTATATTCTGCTTGCTTTGGGTTTTCCCCTAGTACATTTTCTGGATGAAATACATGCTTTGTAGTTTTGGTGTTTCATTGTGGGTTTTAAAATTCATTTAATTAATTTATTTATTTACTTTAAAAGGGACACCAATAATGACATGACTGCATTAATTACTTTCAAATAGCATAGCAGATTCTAGCTAGCAGAGCAAGTGAGGAGTGTTTAATGTCAAAATCCAAAGCATTGCAAAGGGATTTTCTTTCACTTCTTAATTTATGTGATAAGATACTCCTGGGATTAAGAAACCAGCTATGAACTGTGCCTTTGATCTTGCTCCCTTTCATAGTCTGAGTGAATTGAGACTAGAACTTCCAGCACATGCAAAGGTAAGATTTTTTAAGTTTTATGTTGTTGGGTTTTTTTAATTGGAAGTCTTCAGTGTGATGGAGAATGGCACAAGAAAAGCAAAAATATGTCCTTCCAAAGCTTCAAAGGCTATTAACTCAGTATCAAGACAATATCTCAAGGCAGACTGTTCCTTGACCAGTTCCAGACAAATTCCCCAGAAGATCATGCACCAGTTTCCAACAGGGCAATATTTTTAAGTGCTCCAGAAGTTTTCCAAGTACTAGAATCTTCCACTTTTCCATAAATACTGAAGATGAAGGATCCCTTCTTTGTGACTGACTGTGACCAGATTTTTTGCACTGGAGGGACTGTGGGACAGAGACTTTGACAGGCAGATGTCCTTTTCCAGTATCTCAGTCTACCTGAAGCAGCATACATATTCAGCCTAGGTTTTGATTGCTGGAAAGTCAACAGTTCTAAGCCTAGCTTCTCAAGATACCCTCATGGTACTGGTATGTGTATCGTTAAGTGCTAAAGCCCCCAAAGATTTATTCCACCTCTTGACCTGAACTGAAGGCCAGGGCAAGAGTTACAGAAGGAGCTGATGAATCCTTATTTTCTACCTTCCAATACATCCAAGTGCATCCAACTCTAGTTAAATATGTTGAATTACCGTGAGCTTCTGAGATACTGCCAGTTGTTACATAGAAAAACTCAACTCAAAATTCTTTTGAAGACTAGCTCAAGGGACAAGCTTTCCTATTTTTCTTAAGAAGGAACTCTAAGAAAGCAAAATGGAATTCTTGGTTAATGTCTCCCAATGCCAATACCTGTCTATGCCAGGAGTCTAGTGGGTATTCTAAAACACCCATGTGGCAAGGTCTTGTTATGTATTTGGCTACTTCATAGACTCGCTGGATTTATATAATCCATAGAAACCAGCTGGAGAGAGGTTTAAGAAGGAGCATGTAGATGCACTTGCAAAGGCTGTCTGTCTAGTAAATATTGTTCTGCATTTTCTGTTGTAAATGTTCTCCTTCCAGTTTGGGTAGAGTGAAAGGGTAGAGACTGGAGTTGGAGTTTACCTTCGGAACATTCTGTCACCCAAAAGCTAACAGGATCATACCTGCATGTCCAACTAGATACTGAATAGAGACAACCACTCTTAAGGACAAATTAATCCAACAAAAAAAGACTTTTCAAACACACAATGTCCATACCTCTGCAAGTAGCCTCTGATCCAGACCATTGGCCATTTGGCTGGCAAAGCCGGATACTGCTTCCTACTAGATCAAATCCTGCTTTGCATCTGATCCCACAGGCAGCATTAAAGTAATTGTTGCAGACATTCTGGACAAAGTAACCATTTTCAGGGGGTTTCAGTTCAGGGCAGTGAACAACTAAATAATGAAACAATCACAACAGAGTTATTACCCTAGCTGGATTGCAATAGGTTACTGAAAGAAAACAATTTTTTTTTAAATTTCCAACTTGACTTGCATCCTGGTACTTTTCTTGTTTTGGAATGACACAAGAAACCTTGCATGCAATTTGACATATCAGTTACAGTGCAAACACAATAACAAAATTGTCCCAAGACTGTATTGTACATGCCAGGGGTATTCTATTCCAGAATGGAAACACTTACCTTCACAGACTTGTCCTACAGCACGATATCCTTCCCGGCATGTACAATCTTCAATGGAGGTACTTCCTGGTGGAGAAGTATGATTCTCATCAGGACATGAGATGCAAGTGCTGATTCCACCTGGTGAACCTTCAGGCTTGTATGTTCCTGGTGGACAAGCTGTTGAGCAAAAGATGACATGACAGAAAAGATTTTCACAGCTAGCATACTTCTTTTGGTGTGTTGCTTTACATTTTTACATTATTTTTTCCTGCCTTCACCTTCAGTGTCACTTGGCCTGGAGTACTCTCCACTTACACTGCTGGGGAGTCCTTAAAGGGGTGAAGTAAAGCACACTGAACTCAGTGGAGTGACTGCATGGGGACTTATATTAAATCCATGATTCATTTTCTTGAAAGAAGCCCAATCGCAGAAGAAACACTAGATTTAGGTTTATATTTATATTTAGACAGCATAAAACCTATGCTGACCTCACAAAAGCATTCTTGATTTAGACACGTAAAAAATCAGCTCAGACAAAATCCTTGCCATTCAAAGCTACACCAATGCTTGATACATACAAATTCTTACTAACCAGCTACCACAAGCTACAAAAAAGCCCTGCCCTTGATTTACACGTTATGGTTATATATGATCTATGCACTGTACTTCCTAAAATGTATGAAAAACAAACAACGAAGCAATCAATCAAAGCAACTGCTTCCTGAAGCTTTTGCACTCATCAATATACCATTTAATATTTTTAACTCTGTACATCTACAAAAAAAAGCCATAAAGAGATTTAGCAGATGCCTTTAGAGGCAAGGAAAACGCATAGGGAAAAAGAAAAAAGAATCTCTCATCTGAGAACTTCAGATCAGTGAGGTAAGTTTGAGTCTTTTTCTATCTCTGTCTTGAATTCTGTTCTCCAGAAAACCACCATAATTGTATTTATTTATTTTGAAAGGATGATTTGAGAACCGGGGTAGACTAATCAATAGCTGCTGATAACTGCAGTATGGATTATTCAGATTGCCACTTGAAAAACAACTCAAAGACACTTGTGCTGAAAAACATACCTCTTGATGTAAAGTTCAGGAAATATTTTGAGAAGGTTATGTAATATTAACAATGAAACACAGCAAAAAAAAGCTCATTTCATCAATTTTGGTGTTCACACATTTTCCTAATGGCCACACTTCCTCTCACAAACTTCAAGTCAGCCTCTCCTTTCCACTCCCTCAGTACAGTCACTTTGTACCATCTGATGTAGTGCTGCATGCTATAAAGAATTGCACAAACATAAACACCTTCAAGTGCCTGCCCCCTTACATAGCCAGGTATGCTCTGCTTCTAGAGCAAATCTTTCTTATTGAGGTGTATTTCCTGGAGCTCAGTGATTCTGGCAGTATCAGTCTTTGGTAGATATTGGACCAACTGTTTTTTCTATGAGTTAGGTCCTAATATCCTCTTGTCTTATTAACAAAAACAACTTCTTGCTTTCTAGGCAAGTGGAAGAAAACAAACAAACCGCGAGCCCCAAAAAACAAAAATCAAAAGAAAACACAACCACTTTTTTCTTCACCTGTCATGGGAGAATTGACTTTCATAAGCCAAATTTTACAAATTATACCTTAAAAAATCAAGTCATATGAACAGTTAGCACTACTTCTTTCCAGAAGGAACACGCTCTTTTGAATAGCTTCCAGAGATAACATTTTTGTTTCCTTTTCAAAAAACTTTGCAGTGTTATTTTTAAGGCAACCAAGTGGCTTGCAGTTAAAAGGTGTTTTTTGGGTGCTGTAAAATGGCTTCCAAATCTGTATTTTAAACACACTTGTAAAAAGACTGTGAAAATCCCTAAGCAGTAAAGGATGTTAAGTACAAATCAAAGCTTTGCAGGAAGGAAAAAGGGCAGAAAATTCCAGTCAGAATTAGAGCTGGGAATTTTTTTTTTATTTTTTTATTTTGGGAGTTTCAGAAAAGCACTTGCAAAGAAATCCCTTTCCTGTAGTTCACCTGCTCCTCCCATCCAATACATTGCTCTTGGACTGTTACTGCTTTTTTCCTCTACTCTGTGCAGAAATCCCCTCCTTGGACATTAGGACTCTGGAATACTCTCTCGTGCTTCAGTCAATCACCTCCAAACTGTCTAATTATGAGAGGCATTACTCTGAAATCTCTAAAATACTCTCCTCGGGCATTTTGAGGAAGTCTCTGTGCATTCTTTTTAAAACTAATAAGTATCCAGCACCAATTGAGGAAGTGCATGCGAAAGGTTACAGGGAAGAGTGCATATTAAGCATCACAAAGGACCTGCTGTATGACAAAGCTGCCCTTCATGTGCCAGCAAAAGCAAATTAAGTCTCTTCTGTTCTGTGTGGCACATGAAATGACATTTTTAAAAAAATATTTCATTAAAAAACCAAAACAACAAAACAAAAAAGCCCAAATCCAACTTCTCTCTTTCTTGCAACTTCACCTTAGATGAAGAAGCAGCAGCTCTTATTTTTTTAATTTTTTTTTTTTTTTTCCTCTCTTTTAAGAACTATGGGATAAAATAATCACCCATTCTATGATGTGGAAATTTTTAGCAACAAATCCAGTAATTTGCTTTGGGCTTTGAATCAGTCTGGCTTTGACAAAAATGGCTCATTCAGAAACTGCACTTAAAATGCGCTCTTTCAGTGAAGCAGCAGAAGGTAAGTAACACTGTCAAAATGGTTATTAACATCTCTGCTGGGAAAGACAAATTCATCCAAATGTCCTGATTATTTCTGTATGCTTCAAATGCTTCCCAACACCTTTCCAAAAAGTCAAACTACATCATGTCTTGGTTTTCCATGCAGAATCTTCTCCAAGTCTGTTCACTAAACTGCTCATTGACCCTATATCTCCTCTAGATGTATTCACCCATGAAGCTCCAGGCAAGCCACATTCAAACCTTCCACATGGTAACACTTGGTTATGGAGCTATTTCCCAGTGTGTGACATCACACAGTCTGTCCTGTAATACTACGAGATGGCTTAAGAATGGAGCATAAGGATGCTGAGCTCTGTGTGTTTCCATCACTGCCATAGAGTCCAGCCTGGCCACAGCTTAGGTTAAAACCATCAAAAATCAGCTGTGGAAAAGGAGAGCTTTGGCCATCTGCTGTAGACTGGACTCTCCACACCTGACCCAGTTCCACAGTTCGACTCAGGTTTGACAACAACGCTTTCAATCCCCTCCCCCTTCCACCCAGGTAGGGAAGGAGAGAGAGAAAAAGAGAGACTTGGCTGGATTGAAAACTAAGCTACACAGCTTTAATTAAAGCTAATGATATAAGAAAATATATACAATTATATACAAATGTGTTCAGGAAATGTGCAAACCCCCTATTGTCTTCTCCTACCCCCAGCAACTCCCACAGCATCTCCTGAGCTGCGAACAGTCCCGAGGAATCCTGGAGCTGCTGCTGGAGAAAGCAGAGAGTGATGAGGGTCAGGAGAGCTCGAGCCTGGGGGTCGATGGTGATGGATGGACGGAGTCCTCCCCTGATGCCGGCCATGGACAGAGGAGAAGGGAAGAACAAGCAGCAAGGAAGTTGTCTTCTGTGATCTCTGACCTTTCTCTGAGCTTATATATATATGGAATATCTCTGGCCAGTTTTGCTGTCTGTCTAATTCAGCCTCCTAAGCAGGGGTCACAGATCTCCTGGTAATGCCTAAGCCAGCAGGGCAAAGATGTGACCTTGGAGTCCCGGCACTGGCAATAACATAAACATTCCAGTGTTATCAGTTCTAGGTGCAAAACTTACTGAAGGAAAAAAAAAATAAATCAGTAAAAGGAAAAGTGGCTTCATTCTGGCTCAAACCAGGACACCTAGCTAGACTGCAGACCCATCCCCTCCTGCTCCACACAGCACTAGAGCATTGCACAAATCTACACACAGTGATGCATTCAGATCCAAGACAGAACTTTAGAAGTAAGCATATTTGAAGAGCACCCATAACCTCATCTATGACTGACCATACAGTTGTCTCTCTGGGGTCTCTTCCAAGAATCAAGCAGTGCCAAATTTTCATTGCATCCAAGTCACAGGGCTGCACTCAAAGACATCCTCTCTATACCTACAAAAAATGACTGCAGGGAGGGATCACCTTCTTGAATGCTAATCTGTAACAAAAAATAGTATTTTTTTCCAGGCTTGCTTCCCTTTGCCAGCTATATCACAGTATAAAAAGGCTCAAAATAATGTGTGTATGAACCACAGTGTAGACAAGCATCAATCTGTCACTGTCATCAATAATGAAAAGGCAAGGATTTTAAAATGGGGAAACAATTTTAACAGTATCAGGCCTTAAAAAGAAAGAACACTACATGCACATCTGCACATATGACCTCCTTAGCAAAAGACTTAACTACTGCCTGTATATGAACCATGTTGTTCTTTGTCCAGAAGCATGGGGAGTAGCAAGGAAATCCTTCTTGTTTAATGTTATTCTCCTCCTGAGATCAGAAGAGCAAATACTGAGTTAGACCAGAGGATTACCTCTTTGTTACAGGATTGAAAGGCTATCTGGAAGCAGAGATTAGCATGCTAACTCTAACAAGCACAGGCCCCATACTGCTCAAGCACACAAAGATGGGTCACACTGAAGTTGTCATCAACAACAACCCGCTGCATAAAATCATACGTTCTCACCCATGCTTCACATTCAGATTCCACTGTCCATGGCGATGACCGTGCAATAAGCTTCTGATGAGAAATAGAAATAAAATAATACAAAGAAACATCCAGAATCACAATTTTCATTGGGAAAGACCTTTAAGATCCTCAAGTCCAACTACTAACCCAGGACTGCCAAGTCCATCACTAAACAAAGTCCTTCAGCACCACATCTGCTCATCTTCTAAACACCTCCAGGGGTGGTGACTTTACCACTTCCCTAGGCAGCTTGTTACAGTGCTTGAAAATCCCTTCACTAAATAATTTTTTCCGAATACCCAAACTAAACCTCCCCTGTTGTAACTTGAGGCCATTTCTTCTCTCCTTCTTCTGTGAACCCACCTCACAGCGACATCCTCTCAGGCAGTTTCAGAGAGTGATAAAGTCTCCCATCAGACTCCTTTTCTCCAGACAAAACACCCCCACTTCCCTCAGCTGCTTTTCATAAGACTTGTTCTCCAGACTCTT